GCAGTAAGGGGCAATATAAATTGTGTACCCAAAAAAAAAATATCCAGACATATAATAACTTTTACAAAAATAATTACTTAGCAGCTGGTGCATTGTTGGTGTTAGAACCATTCATCTTGTTGCTGAATTCTACTGTATCCTTCTCGGGTGCTTCTTTCTTTACGGTTGTCTTAGGTAGTCCTGAGTCAGCATTGAACATCCAGTTGGCATTAACAGTGTCAGAAAATCCCCTCTTATTTCCAGATACGATGACTGTATTCGGGACCAAGGGGAACAACTGCTTCTCATCAAGTTTGTTCACAGAGCTTAAAGGGGAAAAATCCAAGTCTCGTTTGGGGGACTGAGAACCAGGAAGGCCGAGCCTCAGTTCTGTGGCCTTAAGGTTCAGATTGGTTTTGCCTTCGTCGGGCGAAGATGAGACAGTCGAGCTGTCGACAGACGAGCAGTCGGACAGTCCCAAGTAGTTGCGCTCTTTGAGGCCGAGGGTATTTTGGGTAATGCAGTCAGCAGACGATGAGGAAGCCATTAGATGTGCATTAAACTGGTTTTGCCCCTCAATTCCGGAGAACGGTGGAGTCATCAAGGTTGATATTGAATAAGGTCGTGAAGGATCTACCGATAAAAAAATTCGAGATCAGTATGGAATTTGTTGAGAATTATCTAAAGTTATATTCAAGTCTTGATTATAACAATTTGATAAGGTTATCATATGACAAAATTAAATTTGGTCTACAAATAAAGGAAATAGTAACACATGCTTATATCAACGACCCTACAATGTAAGTGTACAACTAAAACACTTAGCATGCGAAGAATATTGGAATCCAAGAAGTACTGATGCTAATTTTAACGAATGCATCCATACTATGCTGATGTTAAGCTCTTATAATGAATTTATGAGGATACCATGCAATTAAATCACAGAAATGATCATACTATGCTGATGTTAAGCTCTTATAATGAGTTTATGAGGATACCATGCAATTAAATCACAGAAATGATTGACATATCTGACAAGCCTGATAGATCTGAGCAAAACTATTCATTGTTTTGAACACGCCTCTGACTTGGGAGGAAAAAGTAGAAGAAAAAATAACTTGAGAAACAAATTTTATCAATAAGAATTTTCATAAATTTTCTTTTTGGAAAAAGTTTAAGTTTAATCAACAAACCTTTAAAGTAAAGAACAGACACACTTTTCTAATAAATAAAGGAAAAAAAATGAAACTACCAAGTCTCAGCAAAACAAAAGGGGTGGGGAAAAACAAACAGATGCTCCGAGTCTTATCCGATTTTTATTTTGTTTTTTTTCTTTTTTTTTTGAAGAAAAAAAGAAGAAGAAGGAGAAGAAGT